ATTTATCCTTTGACGATAACTTTTTTGTATTTATCGTTATTAGTAGTGTTTAACTTAATAGCTTCTGCATTAAATTTTATTTTCTTGGGTAGTTGATATACCTCTAAACATTTGGTTCGGAAAATTATCCATTATTTCGGGACAACATTCAAAATAACGTGCTATATAACGGTTATAACTTTTTTTTTAATGTTATATCCAAGTGTAGCCTAACAGAAAATTAAGTTTTTTTAAGCTTTTGGACTGATAACCTTCACATTACTTTCTATAAAAAAATCAATCTAATATTGCTCATTTATTTATACTCTATCATTACGAAAAATTTACATTTTTATAATATCACTAATTACATTAATAATGCTTAATAAGTAGTAAATTAAATAATAGTTCCTAAATTAACGAGCTAAATACGACTTAGCATTGAAAACAAAAAAAAAAAGAAAATCAAATTTTACCCTCGATTCTGATTCCCTATTCACATGATCTAATTAAGTACCCACACATTTCTAACTCCATTTACTGCATTATTATTAACTCGCTGCTCATGTATCTAACATTTATAAATTACGCTTGAAATTAGAACAAAGTACTCTACGGATCATTTATTAATCATTTCGTATCTAGCTCCATAACGACCCAAATAAAGTTGTAACGGTTTACAAAGCAAGAAAAAATAGATCAAATAATGCTAATCATCCTTAGTAATGAGATTGTTTTGCTAAAAAATATTTGGGCTAGTAACTTTCCAATGTTTTTTCTAGTATAAAGGATTTATTGTCCAATCACATAATACCTCTACCTCTTCGTATTCCTCCCATCTATCATTATCATTAGGTGGATCATTATCATTAGGTGGATCTTCATCATTAGGTAGATCTTCATCATTAGGTGGTGTCGAAGTACTTGGGTTTGCTTCTTGAGTACGGCAGTGGGCTTTAAGTTCATTATTAGTGGTCGCATCATTATTAGCATCCGGAGAGGGTAATGGGTCCATTAACAAAGGTAAATGCATCTGAGGGACAATATGAGACGATGGTGGTTCTGATAGTTGTGGTAAATGCATCTGAGCAGATGCCACCAGTGCTAATGACTCCAATGCTGGTGGATTCTCACTCTGTTTTGGTAACGTAGAATTAGCTGATAGCGGTTGTGGAACAGGGTCATCATCATCATCATCATCATCTAACACAATTAATGTAACAGAAGATTCTTTAGCACTGTTGTCACGTCGTTTTACGTTCGAACTCTCATCATCTGACGACTCAGCGTCATTATCATCCTGCTCTACAATAGACCATGTTCCATTTGAATCGATTGCAATTTTAGAAACATTACTAAAAATTGAAATTACCCAGTGTTAATACTTTTTTATATAAGTAAAAAATTTATGATTAAAATGAAATAATCTTTACGATGAGAATTGTTCGAGTAATTTAATGAAATATTCATCGACGCGTAATGTCTCTGATGTCACAATACCACTATGAACAGGAAAAAAGCACATAAGTAACATTAAAGATTCGTGTAAATATACGTAAATGTCCAAGAATCACACTTACTTGCACACTGGACATGTCCATTTTGTATGAACCATATTGACTTGGACATAAGTTTCAAGGTCAAAACACTATTAATACAATAAGACATTCAGAAATAATTAATGCTGTACGAAATTGAATGTATTGCTTAAAGAAAAAGATACTGACCCCTATATGCACACAATAAAGACCTTTGGCAGGCTCTTTAATTCGCACCATACTAAGTGGACATTTAAGACTTACTGTCATTTTGTAAGCTGTGACCTCATCGTCGTCGTCATCAATTGTTGTTATTGTATAGCCAGGATTACTTTGCAAATTTTCAGATATAGCGGTATGGCTAGTATGCATTATGTCATGAGAACCATTGGAACCACCAGAACGGGATTGTTTCACCTTGGCTAAACCATTACCAATAAATTACATGCAAAATAAAATTTTATCACATTACCGAATTAAAAAACATTTACCAATTGATAATCCATGTTCGTACGTCAGTCTTTGAAGCCTGGCTAAGCGCAATACGAACTCTTGACTCTCCCATGCGAAAACCTGAATTGATATCTCACGCTCCTATTTCAAAAAAAAAAAAAAAAAAAAAAAAAAAAATTAGCATTTAGGCCCATCTCGTTAGTCCTAATGACGATACTTGCATTTGAATTTCGTATACACCAAACACATCCACATTGATTTATCGCAATGGTATTCCACCCGGCACACATATATCTAGACACATCTACTGGACGGTCAACTCCTTGATACTGTTCCACTCCATTATGAAGTATCCGTTGTTTCTATGATAATTAAAAATAGCATTAAGAAAAGCCTAACAAAACATGTACATGTTAACGTGTGAAATAAACTTACACGTTCCAATTTGACAAGATTATTGTTAAGATATATACTAAAAGACGCCTCTTCTGGTGGCCAATCACACTTATCACTTTTGGGATCAATGTCAATATTTTTAGTCCGTCGTGATATAAGACGATAAGTGAGTGGTAGCTGTGAAGGCGTAGAATTAATTGGCAACTTTGGCGTTTCTGACCTGTAAAAAATACATCAGTTTTTTCATTTAAATTCTCTATAAAAAATAGGTAATATAGTAAAATACACAAACACTTGGGGATTGGACCCGTCTAAAAAATCTGCATTGGTAAGAAGAGTATAGAATGAATTTATTAAGAAAAAAAAAAAAGAAAAAAAAAAACAAATAACATAGATGCATTGGGCTGGTATTTCTATGCATTATACTCAACCCAGAAGC